AAGAGTGACTAAGTCAATAATGGGATGGGGCAGGCAGCAAACTGAGGAAGACTTCCCAAGGGGGCAGTAGATACAGAAACATGGAGATTGAGACATCACAGGCCTTGTGGGACGGTGGTGGTGGAATGGTAGTGAAGGCAGGGAGTGGCCTATGACAAGATAGGAATGCCCATAGGGAACAACAGGCCAGCCCCAATATCTTCATTCACAATATGGAAATAACCAATGTACTGTCTTAATCGGAAGACTAAACAAGATGTAAGCTTTCTAGCAGAAGACTGGTTGCCTAACAGGTGCTCAGAAATGGTGGCCATCTTCTCTCTCCTCATTATTAATAGGTCCCAGATCTGGCAAATGCATAGTATAGGCAAAACCAAGTACAGCTCAAAAAATCCACACCAAAGGAATTGCTCACTGCGTGCTGGCAGGCCTATCACATGCCCAAATTTAGTTTTTAGTGTTTTTTTTCAACCAAGAAAATGTTATTTATCATGCTGTCCAACCCTATGATAAACAAAATAGTGACACAAAAGCGAATGCAGTGATAATACAAGGTTATTGAAGACTCTTCTCGCCTGGACTTGCTTTGGCCTCCCTCTCCTACAAGACAGTGAGGCTACACAGGCGTAGTGCTGAGCATGTATGCGTGTAGGGAGGAAGGGTGCACCATCGAGGTGGGTCTGACCTGTGGTCCCAAGCAGAGCTCCCGACCCAACCACAATGAGCCACTCGGCCCCGCAAAAGAAAACAGGAGAGACATCGGATTGAATCTTCCAGAAGGTCTTTGTTGCAATTTTCTCCATCATTAAAAAAAAAATACATCATCAAATCAAGACAATAGCAGCACAGCTTATTGAAATGTTACAAGCAAATTTGCTTTTGTACTTTTCCTAAGAACATTACGAAATCCCCCTACACACATTATTCTCTGTAAAATGTGTTTAAAAAAAAAAAAAAGCACCATGAAATCCTACAGAGAAAAAGAGAGAGGAGAAGAGGAGAGAGAGAAATAGGTAAAATCCACACTTGGATTTATTGTCCGTGTCATCACTGGGTTCCCTGCCTGTGACTCTGGGGTGGGTGGGAAAGGGCCAGAGGCTGGTGTGTGGGGTGGTTTGCATAACGCTTCTAGGCACCACTGCACCTTGTTCCTTCCAGCTTTGGAGCCCTGGTGGCAAAGGAGAGGCTTTGCAGTTGCTCCCTGCGGCACAGGTCTGCTGGAATGATGGAGTGGGTGGGGAAGGGACTCTAAAGGAATTTTTAACTGCACAGAAAACTATTTGCAGTGTTTTCAATGAAGATCCAAGAACACAAAAGTCCAACTCTGCAGCATCTTTGAAAAGAATCACCGTTAAGTAAGATCTGAGACATCTCTTGTCGATCTCCACTGCCACTAGGCTGACACCATGTGACCTACACACTGCCATGGGAGGGCTGGGGTTTCCATAAAGCACTGGCGGGGGGTGAAATTCAGTGACACTGTTGGGCAAAGTCAGAATGAAGGGCCTTATTCAGAGCCATGTAATGAGCAAGCTGTCCCAAAGTTGCCATGCACTTCCACAATGCCAACTTTAAGAAGAGCTAGGGAATGAACGGCTAGGTTCTTTTTACTTATGGAGGGGCTCCAGACATCGTGTTTCCTGACCTATGCTTTCTTACCAGCCAGGGGATACACTGAATGGCTCACATTCTTTCTACCCAAATCAGTGGGTAATAACCTGTTTTGCTCAAGCTCCGGCCACTTTCCCACTAATCCCAGAGACCCAGCATGCAAACAGATACGCAGCTTAGACTCAGCCAGGAAATGATAGCATCCCAGAGGGAGACAAGTGGGTGGTTGGCTAATGTTTACCACAACAAGACTTTCAAATGGACTGGTCCCCATAGAACCCAAAGCAGCCATTTCCTGTGTATGTGGGGTGGGAAGGAGGGTGAGGTATCTATCTGAAGTACATGAATTTATGAAGTAACCAACAGGAACTTTCAGTATAACTGACTACAAATAGCAACAGCTTAACATTCTTGAACCAGTCTTAACACCATGCAAAAAAAAAAAAAGCCCGTGTTGCATGAAGCCCTCAGGCAGATAGCCAAGGATTTATCAGGGCGGGTAGAGAGCGCCTACACAGGGCACGATTCTAATTTGGACACCGGTCTCCCAAACCCATCTGGTCTCTATCAGTTAACCAGGAAACAAATCCGAAAGGCTAACACTCTCACCTTGTCCTAAAATGGAGGGGACCATTATTGGACATTCACAAGCACACCTTGCAACTTTCTTGTTCAATCAGATTAGCCACATCCCAGGGAATGGCTCATTAGAGAACTGCGCCAATGCAAAGGTCCTTGACGACAATGTATCTGTACTCCACTTGGCTTGACCTGCAGGTGAGGTAACAGGGGTCTTAGAAGGCAACTGCAACGTGCTCAGTATCCCAGGTTGTGACTGATGGGACACAACCTGGGTTGTAGACCAGGGACCCAATACCCACCCTCTGCACAGGCTAGTTGCTAGGATCATTATTGGGCTAGTTTTGGGGTATTGAGCTGTAATCTCTGCACACTCTCCCTTGATTTTCACCAGTAAACTTTGAGGTAAGGCATCAAAGAAGAATTGAGTATTCAAATGCAGAAGATGCAGAAGACACTGCCCATTGAAGAGCACCAAGCATGTCCTCCTTTCATGAGTGAACAATTGAAGGTTTGTTTCAGATGTATGTGGAGACTGGAAGGGGGTGGGATTGGAGAGACAATGTAGATACCTGCATGGAATGAGAACACTTGTGCCTTGTCACCTCTGTGCTGCAAGCCAGTCAGCTCCATCCAAAAAAAGGTGACATTCAGGTAACCTCAAAACAACTGCCTGCTCTCCCAGTCTTAGGCTGGCTACAATAGGAGAAACCCAACCTCTTAGTCACTCCTGGCTTCTCACTGGGAGAGTACAATTTTCTAAACTCTCTGCCCACATACTTAGCAGATCAATCTCCGTGGACGGTCTTCTCGGACTTAATTCTTCAGGGTCTTGAACTTGTCTCAAAACATCCCCATGCCCAGCTCGGTGCTGTATTTCATCTCCCTATTACTATGAGTGGATTCTTTGGGGAAGCATCTATGCACACACCAACATGTACACCTGTTGCCATTGACAGGATGTGCAGCTTAGGGATCTGTTTTGTGACCTGCTGTCTGAAGATGTCCTGCGGGTTTGTAAGTAAAGTGCAAAAGAGTGCTTTTTAACCACACAGAAAGGGCACCACAAACAGCATTCCCAAACGAGAACCACAAAGAGCATTCCCAAGACAAAAACCACGTGCAGTAGGGGAGGCCATGTTTACACCAAGGCTTTATGTCCTCTTCACGATGAAGATCCTCCAACGCCTTCTCCCCACCTCTGTGAACTGTGTGCACGAAGCTTCAGAAACAAATACAGGGGTGCAAAACATGGACACTGTAGCAAAGCTGAAAGCAGACTTTGGTTAGACTTTGAATAGCAACTCAACCACCTCTGTGCTGCATGCCACTGGGGGAATTACCCTGCTTCCCTGAGCCGCCTAGTCCTCGCCAACACACAACAGATGTGTAAATACTCTTCTGTGGAGCACTCTGAGGTTTCGGCGAGGTTTTGTCCATAAAGTGTCTCACCCGTGCCTGTATCGTGGAAGACGCCTGATAAATGAGAGGGAAATACACAGTACCATGAAGATGGCACCAAGATGATAGGAGGAGGAGATGCTAATGAGAGATCCACGGACCATTTAATCACAAACCATAATTTGTCAAGGTGAGAAAGTCCCAATTATGGGCCAATTTCTTAAAACCTAGGCTAGAATAATTTCTGCAGTAAAAAAGCAACTTCTGTACCTGTCTGCTACCACTTCCGGGATGTTTGTTTAGTACTCTGCGAACACAGGACCTAGGGCTCCAGCCCAGTGAGGGCTTCACCCAGACCTACCATAGGCAAGAGGAACCTCCTTAAAGTAGAGTCTGATTTGGCTCCTTCGAAAAAAAAAAAAAACAATGCAGGACTTAGAGCCAAGGCTCAGGAGTGGGTGGGGGCTTGCTGCACATGCTCCGGGTAGGGGACAGTTGTGCATCTAGGGGAAATGGGCACAGATTGGTCTTCAGTGCTATCGGCAGTCAAGGATTGGGAAAGTAATGTTTTTTTTTCCCCCCTGGAAGTCAGAAAGCACTCATTGGTTGCTAGAAAATTATCTATACTTGTGGCCTTTGGGTGCATCCACTGTGTGAATGAGTTCTGCAAAAACCCACTAAACCACCAAAATGTGGCACTGAGTCAAACCCCATAATAAGTAACTTGCTACGGTTGCCACATACAAATGGTTGATAGTATGACCCAAATCACTGACTCCAAACCGGAACCTGCCACTAGGAGGGAACCTCAGGCATACATGCGCAGCATGAGAGCCTACTATATATTTTTCACTTTCTGACAAAAATCCCAATTTAAGCCATCCTCTCAAAATCAAACACCAGTCAGGGGTTCATTGAAGATTCTAGCCTCCTAAATGTGACAGGTTGGCTACTGTTTGCCTTGAAGCAACCACTCAGCAGAGTACTTCCATTTCCGTGGGGGGAAAAAACGTGTGAGCAGAGCGAAAGATGCAGACAAGGAAAAAGAAGTAATGTTTCCAGAAGAGACGACCGCCCAAACATAAAGGGCAAATGAATTGTCCTAAATGCCTCTTCGCTTAATTAACTTTTTTAAATGGTACTAATGGCACTTAAGTTGCAAGCACTAGAACACATTTCAATCTACTGTACAAGGGTTGGTGGGCGGCTTAACTTGCCTTCTGTCTGGAGATAGCAAGATTGTTTCTTGTAACCATGTCTCCCCTAAGACACCGCACGGGACAAGAAGCCCTGAGATGGAAGATGCCACGGCCCTCAGTACATCTCAGAAATAAAGGATGTCCAGTATTGTAAAAATGTAGGATCAGCTAGACAAAACAGCAAGCCATTGGCATCATGCAAGGCAATTGTTTTGGTCATTTTCCCCCCTCTGAATAAAACAAGGTATAACTGGAGTGACAATAGAAAAGTGAGCAGGAACATTTCAAAATCAGTTTATTTTTACCATTTCACCCACTGAGGAAAATGCATAATTTGCCTTTAACCATGCAGCGGTTGGGGTTGAGTTTTCTCCAGTGCTTTGCGTGTTCATCTGGACTACCTAACCTCGTGAGAAGAAAAAACTCAGTAGGCGTCTGCCATTGGTCAAGGTAATATCCACAGTGTGATGTGTTTGTGATGTTCTTCTTTTTTCCTTGAGAAAAGCAATTGCACCTTGTAATATGTGTGCTCACATCAGCTTCCAGCAAATTTCAGATGCTCTCGGGTCCTAAGGACATTCCCGCGGAGCTTAGAAAGACCAGGTATTATGCATCGAATGGTCCGTGTCAAAAACCAAACTCAGAGCACATACATGCCAAAATGTTGCCTCTTGCCCCAGTCACCAGTTCACGCCCAGGCAGGTCCCCCTCTTGTGCATACACAGATCACTAACGGTAGGTTCAGGAAATAAAAACTCCACTTGAAAGACACAGCTGGTTCCTCCAGGAGGCTGGTCTGAGGAATAGCTGCCCTCGTTGGCATGCCACACCAGAGCGTTGCTGCACAGGGACCCAGCATCACTCCGGAAACTCCCTCCACACCCATGGCCATGACCTGCCACATGTGCACACACTCCCTGTGGTATCTTGCTGCTGCTGTTTGCAGTGGGATGCTCTTATTCTTTAATTCATTTTGGCAGAGCAAGCTTTCGGTCGTTTATGGCACAGTGAAATATATTCTCCAATGCTATGTAGGTTTGGACTAACAAGAAGTCTGTTTAAGGCACGTGTCTCAGTGTGAATATAAAAACAAAAAAAGAAAAACAAAACAAAACAATAACGCTGAGTCCCGAGTCCACTGTCCTTCACGTGTTAGTTTTTGCCTTCAAGTAATGAGTTGTTCTCGAGTTCCCTGTCTTTGGTGTCCGTGGGTACCAGCCCATTCTCTATCTCGTCCTGCTGCTGGGCACAGTCCGTCAGCATGGCGGTGCTGGAATTGTCGGAGTTGCACATCTTCTCCGACTCTTCCTCCTTCTTTTCCTCATCCAGTGAGTAGTTGCGGAAGGATTTGTAGATTTTCTGGACATCCTCGGGCAAGGTCTTCTTGAGGTCCTTGTTTTTCCTCTTGGTGAGTCTGGAGGTGGACCCAAACTTGTTGATGATGTTGTCTTCCGATGCGCCCTGCCCATGCTTGTTGAGCTGCTCTGACCCCTTAAGGCGCAGGTTGTTGGGCCGGTTGTTGATGCTCTCCTGGGACGAGGCCTTGAAGCGGCCAGTATCCAAGGCAGCAAAGACGGAACGTTTCTCCGGGGACAGCATGTCCAGCGAGTGGGCCCTCTGGTCCAGGCCCAGTCGCCGGCGCTCCATGCTGCGAATGGTGGCCGCCCGCTGTAACTTGTCATGGATCTCCACACTGAGCCGCCGCCGCGTCTCACGGAACTCGGCCGTCACATTGGCCTTCCATTCGGCTGCATGCGCCTTAATCTCTCCAACCTGGCCAAGAGATGGAAAACCACTGAGAAATCCTCTCTTCCTGGGTTCTCCCAGCACCCACTGCCCACAGGTGTCTGACAGGGTAGCCAGAGGTGTACCCAGGAAGGGGACAAAACCCTACTTCTACCTTAGGATCTCTTGATGCCCAAAGCGCCATCTCAAACTGACTGGTGACCAGTGTATCAAGTTATACCTCTCCTACAGCTACTGGGCTTGCCCTGGCTCAGGAAGACCGTCTAGGGCATCTTCCCAGTCAGGGTACAGGAAAGGGGCCCAGGCTTCCCCTGTACAGATGAGTGATTCGAGATCTTTGTACTTCAGAAAGCCTGTATTTATATCTTTCTCTTTTGTTATAGCTGACTTTCTGCAGGTGTGTGAGCTAGCTAGGAAATCAGACTGGTTGACTGAGTTGATGAAAGCCTTCAGCATGAACTCACGGGCCTCAATCATGAAATGGGGAACTTCTCTATTCAATGACTTTCTCCTGGGACCTCAAACAGAAAATGAAGTAAACTGCTAATGCTTGAAGGGATGGCCTCTGTTTCCCTTCATCTCCCTTCCTTTCTTTAGCTCTTTCTCCTTTCTTCCAGTTTCTCCCTCTCTATTTCCCATATCTTTATTTTCTTGTTTCTTTGTGGCTTTTCATGTAAATTAGTATGCTGGACAAGAGTCTGTGTGACCTTGGCCATGGGAAGAAATCCATCTCTACAGAGCTGTTAACCTTGGGAGAAGCGGGGGACTCAGGTGAAAGAGTCCCCAACAGTTCCCTTGCTTGTGACTGGCCACCGTTCGATGGTGTCAGCCCTTTACTGAGTAGACCAAGATGCATGGAGTTCAAGTGCATCCCACACAGACCCTGAGACCAAAGGTCCAGCAGGCTGTCCTGGGTTCTCGATGAATCTTGCAGTCCTCCCAAGAATTTGCACACCACTCTTGGTCATGTATACCTTTGCTGCATCTATTTTCCTCCTTTTTCAAAAATGATCGTTGCACACTAGTCCTACCAGGGGTGATGGTCTGAAAAGTGTAGCCACATGTCCTCAGCTGCCAGAGAAACCTACAGTTGTAAACTGTTATCTCCATTCAACTCGGCTTTGAGGCGATGATTGAAAATGAGAAAGCCTCAGAGGAGTTAGACACTATAGCCCATAGATCAGAGATGAGCAACTCTTGGCACGAGCTAATCTTACCCAAGAAAAATTCATAGAATCTGAAAAGGAGAGGTCCTACCTCTTCTTTCGTCTTTTTGGATAGAACCCGTAGCCAATCTCCGATCATACTGAGCACAGCTGCAAAGTAGGCGAGGCCGACAAGGATCCAAAACCACACTAGGGGCTTATACCACTCCCGGTAATTGATGCCAGCATTTCCCCCTGAAAACAACCAGACGTTACTTTAGCCATGATCTAGCTTGACACTCCCAAACAGAATCCAGCCCCTTGTAATGGAGATGTCATTCCTGAACACTCAGCCATTAGTTTTGCATTGTGAGAGATGGGACTGGTCTTACAGGGCAGTGAAAAGATAGTTGGGCTTATGGCTTAATTTCCTTTGAGTCTTGACCATTAACCTTAACAACCAGGAAATAAAAGGCACACCTGCCTCTTTTCCCAGCCTGAGCATTGATGATGCATGCCTTTTAAGACTTTTGAGTATCTCAAATCGGGTCCAACAAGCAGGTTTTGTTTCTTAAATTCCTCTAAAAAGCAAATACTGTTAAGTCACCCCAAATAGGCTGTAACTCTTGGGACCATTTCCATCCTTGGCACATATGCACTGACCAAGAGAAAAGTGGATATGCACATGCAATGTTTAGTACAGTGAAATTATGTTGGTCCACACAACGATGATTGAATGCAGGATGGTGCTTAGGCTATCTCAAAAGGTCAGTTGGGCTAATTAGCGTCCCCATAAGTCAGAGCCCAAAGGAAGCTCAGAGGTCATCTCTGAGGTCCTTTTGTTATATATATACATATTATATATATCATATATATTAACAATATATTAAAAATATATATATGATATATATATATAAAGTCCAACCCAAATGGGCCCACTGGCCTGTCTGTATTGACTGGCGGCTGTTCCTTGAAGAAGACCTGTCATAGGTTACAAATAATTAGCCTGGCTATTCTAGCCTCTCTAAGGGTACTGCTGAAGGCTGGCATGCAAAACAGGTTGCAATCCCAGCCCATTCTCATAAAGAAGACCCTAGATAGCTTGTTGGAACAATGGCCATCAGCTCTGTTCTCACCCCGTGAGACACTGCTGCCCAAGGAAGCAGGCAGGAGCCAGTTCAAAGATGACTCACATTAGCAATGCATTGGCACTAGGGCATTTTATGGTGATAGATTGGCAGGTTTTGCCACTGGGTCATGGCACCGCTAAATCCATGCTGAGGTCTTCTAGAATTGCTAACACCATGCAAAGTCAGCCGGGCAGGCACTGCAGCCTGGGACTCTTCTCAACATGTCTGAACCCACTTTGCAACGACGCTTGTGTGGTTTGTCAAGCTGCCACTTTTGACAGAATTCCCAACCCGGCCAGAGGGCTAAATCAAGCCATCTTCATGGGATTTAGCCACCTTAATATTTTTCCCTTTAGTCAGTTCTCCCATCCAGCACTCTCTAGGATGCAATTGCAGCTTCAGAGACATGGGATGGCATTTGAGGTACATTTGCATTCTGTGCCAGGTCAGAGAATCCAACAGCTTTCTCCTTATGGCCTATGGCAACTGCTTACCTGAGTGGGTCCCTACCACCAGCACAGACCGCCACTAGGGTGCGCCAGTGAACAACACAGCAAACACCCTCCTGGTGTCCAGAGGAGCTGCTGGTCTGGATGCAGAGCTCTGCGTGTGCCCTCTGTCAGGGACACAACACTGGTAGTGTCACCAGGCTGAGGCAGGCCGGCTACAGAATAAACCAGCCATCAACCCTGGGTGGTCAGCATTCTGGTAATACTTCTAGTGAATTTGATACCATGTCAGAGCAGAGCAACCATCAACTCCTGTTCAGTTATCTTTGCTTTTAATGATTGGGCAGCCTTCCCTCTGGCTCTTAAGAATACAGCTGGCCCTCAGTATCCATGGATTCTGCAATCATGGATTCATCCAACATCAGATGGAAAATACTCAGGAAGGGGGAGAATGTTGTGTCTGTGTCAGATACGTTTTGTTTTTCTTGTCACTGTTCCTTAAATATCCCCATAGCATTTGCCTTGTGTTCGATATTACCAGTGAGCTAGAGATGATTGGCAGGATAGAGGATGTTGTGTTTATGTTACATACAAACACTACATCATTTGCATCGGGGACTTGAGCAGCTACGGACTTGAGCATCCAGCGTAGATATCATAGGACAACTCAGCATTACCAAATGGTAATATAAACTTCCAGCATTCTCCAGCTCTGAAAAGTGGAGCTTGGCAGGGGTCTGCTTTAACTGCCACCAGCACTGAGGACTCTTAAGAGACCGTGGCCCGTGCAAACATCAAGGCAAAGGAAATCTAACTCAATAATTACTAGAAAGAAAGGACATGAACGCCTGGGGCTCTGGAGGTTCTGCACTCCCTGGCTATGCAAAGGCAAAATGACAGTGAGTGCACACCAACCGCTCAAGCGTCGGTGGCCGGTGACTCAAAAGCAGAAGGGATTGACCTTTGTCCTTACAGTCCCAAGGCTCTGTTGTTTGTGCCTCCAGATTAACAGATGGAACTAGACAGCAGAGTCGGTCCTGGGCACAGCCCAGGGCTCAGCACAGGCAGCTCTGAAGCACAGCCCATTGCAAATGATATTTTGGGATGTTTGCGATACTTGCCAAATAGTCCTCGCCTCCACCTGCTGATACCTGTATGCACCTTAGTTTGGAATTGCAGCTGAGTTTTCCCATAGATCTGCTGCAGATGCTGCTATAGAATTAATGGGAATACAATCACATCCACATGTCTTCTTTCCACTTTTCTCAGCTTCTTCCTACAGCCTGAGGCCTCATTAATCAGTCATCGCTCAATGCTGAGCACAAGGAAAGATGGATGGGGTCTCTGGGCCTGTACTTCCTGGAAACACCTCTCATCACATCAGTTTTGTAAGTCTTAGCAACCAGAAAGGAAAAACAAACCACTACTCTTTCTACAACATGGATTCCAGTTTGCAGTAGCTACACACCCACTCTGTCAGCTGTCCGTCTGGTAGGAGTAACAAGGAGCCGCCCAATCACCTGCTGATGAGAAGGCAATATGCCTTCCAGAATTTTCTCTTCACTAAATTCCCAGGGTCTAGACCACCATCCTTCTCCATGCGCTACATGGAGAAACAGAGGCGCAGCTGGGATCACATGCCCGGTGAAGGGTGGGCTGCCCGAGAGCCCAGCATGGAAATGACCCGGCTGCTGCTCAGTGTCAAAACTGTGATGGAGTTGTTTGAGCCACAGGTTCACTTCTGAGAAGTGCAAAATGACCAGCTACCTGAACATCTCGGAGTGTCCCTTTAGAAAGAATGACGGCCTCCTCCTTCTGTCTCTGGGAGACAATCACACATGTGAAGCCAAATCTCATCCTCAAGCTCTCTGTCGAGGACATTGACGGTGGTTTTCCATCACTTCCTCAAACATAACACATTTTTACAATGAAGGCTATTGTCGCTGCATACATTTCTGTGGAATCCAACAGACTGTACTCCCTTTGGGCAGTTCTCAGCTCCCAGGAGTCTCCAGAGTGTGAAGTCTTGTGTCTGTGCATACCCAAAACAAATCTCACAAGGACAACGACTCCCACTGTGGGCGAGGCCTCTGCAGGCCAACCTCTATGCTAATCCTCCCCAATCTCATATATGCCACCTGCTAATACTGCCTTTAGCTATTGATTCTAGGAGGCTTCACACAATTCACAAGTTCAAGATTCCATGGGAAACTCACTTCACTCCTGTACAACTTGTGGGATGATAAGGGCACACGCATCTGAGGAAGAAAGGGCTGGATCTTCTTTCACAGCAGAACAAAAAAAAAACAAACCTGCTGCTGTTTATACCGCACGAGACTGGGGGAGCTGAAATGAGGCCACGCACAGCAGCAGCGACACTGAATCATTTTCAGTTGCTTCTCCCAGGGCATCTTTCACTGATTTCGAAAGGCACAAAGCAATAGGTTTACTTTCGCCACCAGAGGGCCCCAGTGAGTGAGGATGCCCCGACTACTTACCTGCCACAAAATCGCCAAATCCCACCGTAGTCAGAGTGACCACTACAAAGTAAATGGACTCCAAAGCTGTCCATCCCTCGATGTACTTAAAGATGACGGCAGGAATCGTCACAAACACTATGCAGCCGGCCAAGATGAACAAGATGGTTGAGATGACCCGGATCTTGGTCTGACTGACTTGCTTCTTCTAGGGAACGGTAAAGGGGAAAAGACAGAAAGGCATGTCAGCAGCTTCCCCCCTCTCATCCACAAGGTAGAGACAAAGAAAGAGGTGTTTGCTCGGAGACTTCTAATCTGATGAACGCTGTGAACCCTCTTCTAGAAACAGGCAGCTGGTCTAGTTGGTGCTTGGGTCCCTCAAAGCTTGCTCACAAACACCAGGTCTGGAAGCCCTAGCTTGGCTCATGCTTCGAATGTCCCCCTGCACAGCTGCATGACAGCAGCCCAAATACCAACTCTAATGTCCCAATGGCTTCCCAAGAAGTGCTTGCTGCCAGTTTCCATACAGTCCGACCAAGCACCGTACGTGTAGGGAGTTATTCCCACAGTGATAAATCTGGACCTACTTTCGCTCATGTCAAAGAGACTGTGCTGGAAACAAAAGAAACACGATGTGAGTCAGGCCAGCATGTTGGAACGAAACACCTCCTGGTCTTCAGTTGGGATAGACTTCAGCACCACTTCCACGCGTTTCTCCACCTGTCTGCCCCCTGCTGGTGTTGTGCATAGATAAATACTTTTGTTCTAAAACATACTCCTTTGGGCGAGTGGGATGGTCATCAGGTTCGTCAGCTGTGGCAAGAGAGACAAGGATGGCAGCCAGAAGGACAGGGTCGCTGTCTAAATGGGCAGAGGCCTTCATCTTAGCCCAGCTTCTGAAGGAATCGGGAGTTAGGCAGTGAAAATGCATTTAGAACATGAATTAGACCTATACTGGGGCCAAGGAATCATACCACTGCATTCTAGAAGTGGACAAGTAGCATCCTTGAATGCAGAGCTTCAGCACTGCCTCCTAGTGGAATGATCCATTGGGTCTTCTGGACATTTCCAGAACTGGCAGTTGGAGACTGTCACTAGGGGGCCATGGTACCAACCGCTGGCATAAACGTTTCTACTCTGCTTAACAGCAGAGTGCTTGGCCTTTCTGCATGATCTCTCACTATTTTCTGCCAAAAGACACAGCATTTGGAGCACTGAGTACAGGAAACCCTTACCGTGCGATGCTTCCTATTCCTTGTCTTCTGGTTAAGAATCTCAGGGCAGAGAGAGACCCTTGCATTTCATGTGCTTGGTTTTACAGACACCACACAGAAGCCAGAGGTGTGGAGGGACTTGTCTGAGAGAATACTGCTAATTAGAGACAGAGCCAAGGTTAGAATTCTGATGTAATTAACTCTCAGTCCCGTGTTTCATGATGGACACACCTCACCAGCCCAACCAAGTCGTCCTCTCCTAGAAAAAGACCCAAGATGAACTGCCACCTAAGAACAGGTCACCCTGTCCCTTCCCCGAGAAGACTGCAGCCAGGACACAGTCACTGGGAAAGTCGTCCAAGAAAGTATGAAGAAATGCAGTCCTGTGCTATCCAAAAGGAGACACATGTCCTAACACTTAAGACATGACTCGGTAACGAAAGCAGGAGCTGGGGGAATGATCCTGTATAAGCCTCCTCTCCATATCCTCGGAGGAGCCATCTGAGCGCGACGACCGTTTGGACAAGACCACAATCACTGCGGAAACTGCATATGAAAATATCAAGTATTTTGCACAGATGCAAGGATCATGACAAGATACATTGCCGCAGAACCACAGGGACCATTTAGCTCACGTCCCGAATGTCCATGATTGATGACGCATGCAGGACTCTAAGGAGGTCGTTGAGTCCTCCAGAGAACCCAGGAACGTACCAGCCTCGTTCTGTTTGCAGGCATGTACAACATTCCAGCCCAACAGGAGATTTCACCATAGATCATTCAGTTCATCTATTCACTGGCAACAGGAACATCACTCCTCCCCATGACAAATCATCCTCTTCAAATGCATAATGAAATTAAGGTGAAGTAAATGTTTGTGAGACGCTTGTTAAGTCATAAATTAGGATGCAAATGCAGTCGCAATCTAAATGAGGTTGAGATTGGCGAAGAAGGAGCACGTAGGAAGCTGGAGATAGGCCCAGGCTTCGGGAGACAGACAGCAGGGAGAGGAATGGGTGTGTCTAGCCACCCGGAAGGTGCCTAACAAAGCCAGGGTGGTGGCAACTTGACTGCATGATGTACAGGGGAGCCGATCAGCAATGCTCAAGCCGTCCAGTGTGTTCCCAGGCTGCGCCTCCCAGACACTCACAATGCTCGGAGGACAATTGGCGCATCGACTTCCGGGGGTATTTTAGGGAAGTAAGAAGTCAGTGAGTTGCATGAGGCTGTGAGCAGCTGTAGGAGACTATATGTGTGCCCATATGTGTCCTAAAAAGAAGACGTGGAGGCGGAAGAATTAAGCAAGATCCGTTATTCTGGATACTCATGTTTGTGCTACCCTCTAGATATCTGGTTTTTTAAAAGAAGTTTCCTTAATTGGGTATTCTAAATGGCAGTTTTTATTCTGGAGCCACAAACCTCATGTGTCACATAGGGGTGTTCAGACTTCCTGTCCTCAGTCACACTGCAGCCACCTACTCCCTCTGTTAAAAAAAAAACACGGGTTCTCAAATCGGGAGCCGAGGGGGCAGAGAACCTAAAACACAGCCCCTCACTGCTGTTGAGCAACTGAGCTCAGGGACACGTCTCACCCTCTCTGTGCAGTGGCTCCTTCTGTAAGCTGGAGACAAGAGAATCCACCTCATCAGATCCTGGGGAAGACTGAGTCACCGCGCCCGTGGTTAACCCAGTGCCAGACGAGTGCTCGGCGACTGCTACTAGGCACTTGTACTGTCCCAAGTTCAAATGTTTCCTCAGACGGAGGCAGTTCCCGATGAAATGTTTGCTTGCTGTTCAGGAATGCTCTCTCCTGTTTGGTTTCAGATCATCTGTGTTTAGCTTCAGGAGGTCACCACTGATTTTTCTCCCCCTGGATACATTATCTCCCGCAATTATCTCGTTTGCAAAAAAGTCCTGATTCCCCTCCCTTCTTCTGTTGCAAACTCTGAGTTAAGCCCTCAGATAGTCTCAGCTCACGATCTTGGAAGCTATTCGCTTTTTTAATGGACTTTCCTGCTCGGTTTCCATCATCCAAGAAAGGTAGATATCATTTGCTATGGCAGAAGCCGGCTGCGGCGGGACCCTGAGAGGACAGAACTTGCCAGCTCCTTCTCCTCTTTCGCCCCGCAGACATGTCCCCTGTCACTCACAGAAAGGAGCTGCGTTTCCACAGAGGGGTTGCTAGGCAAAATTGTGTTGCTTATTTACCAGAGAGCAGAGCAGCTAGCAGAAGGCTTTGTGAGCACCCGGATCTAATGAAGTCCATGTGTCTTTTGGCTAGAAAAGCTGTCATCTGGGGAAGAATGGCTCGATAGGCTCTCTGGGCAGGAGCAATGGGATGGTTGTGTATTTCTGTCCAAATCTTGTTTTATTGACTGATGGGTTAGAACAGATGAGGTGTCCTTCCTTTCTCGTTATATCAGTGGCGCTGTGTAGACTGAGCTCACACACCTGCCCAGCACTGACTAAAGGAATTTAAAAAAAAAACAAACAAAACTTATCGCCCATCTCCTGTTAAGTTTATCTGGCTGTCAAAATTACATATGCGATTATTCCAGAGAGCAAATAATCTCCATAAACAGGAAGAAGAGACAGCAAACAAGAGCTTTCCTTGGAGAAAGGAATGGACACCCTGACAACCCTAGAAGTGTGTGCTTGTTTCAGACATCAGAGGGCTAAGCCACACACCCAGTGTTCAGTGGGTACAATCCCCTGCCTCTTTACTGGCCCCAAGGTTACGGTAGAGAGAACATATAGCCTTTTATACAAGGGGCTACTTTTTATTTCATTTGATTTTTTTTTTCATGTCCTCTTCCCCCAAATCTCTATTCCTCTTCTTATCTTTATGCAATTTCTTAGAATCCTGTTTGTTTTGTCTGGCTGAGAACTGTTTTCTGTTGTGATTTTTTTTTTTCAAGCTAGGATGTCAGGGACTTTATTTAATAAGAAAAAAAAAATACTGCCACAAAGATCCCAGGGCAGGAGCTGTCCATGCAGAAGTCTGGTGTATGGTTTGGTTTTGGTTGAAATGCAAACACATCACCATGGTTATACAATTGAACTGAGGATAATTCCTCCAAATGGAAAGATAATAGGAACTGCCTCGCAAAAGGAATGATTTTACTTTGTTATACTATGCTTTCTTCAAAAAAGAAATTTTTGTTTTTAAAGGGCCACTTCTTACTAATAGTTTCAACATCACAAGGAAGCACCAGCAACTCTAAAACCTGCGAGCAGAATGTTTAAACACCACTTGCTTGTAATCTCCATGGCAGAGATATTCCAGACACACATGAATGAGAATGCTAAGATCTCCATGGAGACTGTGACAAATGTTCTCCTCAGAAAGCTGAGTACACAAACGGACCATCCCTGTACAAAAGCGAAAGGCCCATCCCGCCTCCGACTCTGAGCCACACAGCGCCACGACAGACTGGCCAGTACATTGCTTTGTGGGTTCTACCACAGGGAGGATTGCGTTAAGGATTTTTGGTTCATGCAATTAAACAATTTTGAAGATTTCTTTATTTTTGTTTGAAATGCAGGGTTACACAGAAGGAAGGATAGACAAGCAGAGAACAAGAGAGAGGGAGAGAAAAAAAAAAAAGAGAGGGAGAGAGAGAAAAAGAGAGCCTGACCTAGTGGCTCTCTCCCCAAGCAGCTCAGCAGGAAGACTGGCCCAAGTGAAATTTTCCACAGATGCCCCAAGAGAGTCCCTGGGGGCTGCCCTGCCCCAGATCCTTCACTGTGACCTGTTGCCTCCCTGTTGCTGCCTCCACTCCTACAATAACTACACATGCAATGGTCAGGGACAGTGGGATGAGGCAGAGATAAACATGGCAATTCCTACTCGTGGAACCTGCTCCAGCAGACAGCAGGGCCATTCCAGATTCTCCAGAACCAACCCACGAACCACTAGAGGATCTGAAGCTGCTTTTCAAAAGGGCACCTGACAAGTAAGTGTTTCCTATGTGGGCCACATCTTGTCTGTCAC